GAGAAGCACAGTGCTGTGGGTGGTGGCAATAATTGTGCTAGAATTGGTTTAAAAACAAGAAAGGAAAAAGCTGGAGCCCAGAGGCACGTCTGACCTCCGCCTCACAGGACTCACTCTTGGACTCTTGGTGGATGCTGAGACTCCGTATTACCCCTTGTGAAGTTAGAGGCGCCCAGACACTCCTGCAGTGATTTTTACAGGGGTTAGAGAACGGTTTTGTTTTCTTTTGCCCCATCGATTTTGTGCAGTGTCAAGGTCGCTCTGATTCAGGGTGACTTCGTGCCTGTCAGAGTAGAACTCTGTAGGCTTTTTCACACTAGGTTTACGGGATGTGTCATTTTGGCACATTTCTATTTCCTCAACGAAAATTGCAGAATCCCTTTAAATTTACCTCCTACCATTTATGCTGACTTTTATCCATTTAATGAGACAACTATATATCCAAAATCATTTTCTTCTAAGATCTTTACAGATACGTATCAATTTGACACTAAGGTAAATGAGTATTATTCCTAGTAAAGCGATTTCATTCATGAAAGCATTATTTCTGTAATAAATATAAATGCAGTAAAATGTTTAGAAAGTAACGATTAACTGTAAAGGCAAAGTAGCTGAGATTGTCGTATTAACTGATCCAAGCGACCTAACTATACGTCAAACCCAATATCTCAAATGTTGTATAATGTTAAATATTATAAATTTTATATAATATATGGCATCACAGTTTCATTTCTAAGTTAATAGTGCATAAATATGTGTTTTTACATAAAATAAGTTGTTTTTTTAAAGAAAATGTGTAGTTTTGTTCACCTGTCAATTTGATGCGTGTCCACGGGGACAGGTATATAAAAAATCTTTGGAGACCTAGTGTTAATGACCGACTATTGGGAAGAACACTTGCAGGCCTTGTCCTGAAAGCCCGTGGGTGGACTTCCAACCTTTCCTGAGTACTTGTAAACATTTGGGCCACCCAGGGACTCCTATTTTATGTGTAAGGTACATGATTCAGAGAGGTGGCACTGTCGGATAAACATTGAGCTTCTATGTGCAAGGTTGGAAGTTCAAACCCACCACCTACTCCTTGGGAGAAAGGTGATACTATCTGCTCCTGTAAAGATTTACAGTCTCAGAATCCCTAAGGAGCAGTTCCACTCCGTCCTACACGTTATGAATCAGAATGGGTCTGAGAAGAGTGTTTTCTTGTAGTTTTGCATAATGAGATTTATAAGTGATTTCCCCTTCTCCAATTTCTCCTGGATTATATTGATTTTCTTCAGGAACTGAGAGACTAATTATAATTACTACTCTAAGGAAGTTCAAATCCAGTTATTTAATTGTAGGTACACTTTGCTGGGTATGTATATGTGTGTATTTAATTGATTTTTCCAGCATTTAAGAAATATAAATGGATGGCAATAATACTGTATTCAAAGAATAAGAAAGCATTGATAAGAATCTATTTTAAAGTACCTTAATGAATTATTAAGTTGTGGTAACCTTATAAAAAAACCTCATGTACTTAGGATATGTTATCAGAAAGCACTAGATGCTGGAAAAGGACATAATGCTTGGTAAAACAGAAGATCAGTGAAAAGGGGGGTGACTCTCAATGAGATGATTGATATAGTAGCCGCAACAGTGGGCTCATTCATAATAATAATTATGGTGGCCGGACAATATTTTGTTCTGTTGTCCAAAGGGTTATTAAGGAGCCCTGATGGTTCTGTAGAATGGGCTGCTAACTGCAAGGTCAGTGATTCAAGCCCACCAACTGCTCCTCGGAATGAAGATGAGGCTGTCTACTCATGTAATCCTGACCCATCTCAGAAGCACTATGTAATGTTGGTATGGGTTACAACCAAGTTGATGATGGTTTGTTTTGACATAGGGTTGTTAGGAATCAAAACCGATTTTCAAGCACCTACCAACCGTCACGTAGCCAGATCCTGGTCTGTGACACAAAACTTCCAGGCAGCACAATTACTGATTTACTCCCTGCTCTTTTTCTAATTTCCCTGGTGCCTCTTGCCTTCCCTCCCTCCCTCTCTATCTTGTTCTGTTTTCTTACATCTCTCTTGTATGTCTTCACATGAAATAGTTTTTCCAAATGTGTTTTCTTTTCACAATGTGTACATGTTGAAAAAGCCCCTTTGTGAGTTATCACTTCATGTAAAATTATTTTCTGTATAGATATTTGGCATCTGAGGTTACACAGAACTCCTGTTCCAATTCTTTATCTACCGCCACCCCACAAATGTTCATACACACATACCCACCAACACTATCTGAATACTTTATTAAATCCAGAGTTTGTATTCAAACATCCTATGACTATTAGATGGCTATTTTGCTTTCTATGAGCAAGAATTGTCTCATCTACCTGCCTTTTCTTTGGTTGGTTAGTTTATAAATTTTCATTACATTATGTTAAGCTCTCCCCCTAGCATCTTACAAAAGGTGGCACTATTTTTTTCATGTTGTTCTGAATTAATGTTTTTCTAAATAATCCTGTGCTTAAAGTCCTATATGTTTTCAGTTTGTGCTTGAAGCCCGCAGTGCTGTGGGGTTGCAGTGTTGAGGGGGACTTGATGGCAGTGGGCTGTGTAGAAATGAGTGTAAGCTGCAGGCCAGAGCAGCCGTGGCTCTTCCTCGCTCCACAAGTGACTTCGTGATTGTGAGGCATTGTTTCAGTTTCGCTTTGTTACCATTGCTTGTCTTCACTGTTGAGAATTCTGAAAAGAACAGTTTCTTAACTGCAGCAGTGTTGTTGGAGGTGCTAGTAAAAAAAAGTATGTGAAGAAAGTATAGCTTACCTTGGCATAGGTTTGCTCATACTAGTTCGGAGGACAACGTCACTTGGTATTTGTAAACATACATTTTGGAACCACCATTTGGAACCTCACCTTTTCCAGAGAAGCTTCTCCACCGGGAAGTAGTTTTACACTTTTTAAACTGTGTTTCGTCCGCGTCTTGGATAACGGTTTCCTCCTTGTCAAAAGTTCTACAATCATACTTCATTTTATAAAGAACATATGTAAAAATAGCTTATGTAGCTAAAGATAGATATTTAAAACTGTTAGACGATAGTTATTTTTCCAGAAATTTTGTTCTGATTATCTTGAAACCTGGCGCATTTCCTTGCAAATTACAGACACTAAAGCATTGTTCACTTGAACATGACTTCAAATTGAGGCTATGTACAACTCGTGCTAAAATTGGTGGTAAATGTAGTATTGCTGAATTTCTGAAGGGAGTGATCCCCAAGGATCCAAGTATAGCGACTGAGAGATATGTGAAAGAAGTGGGGTTTGAATTGAGCATTGAACAATGGGGGGTGGGGTGGGAGGATGCCAGTGCTTTTGAGAAGTGGGAGGGATATTCCAGGAATGGAGGGATAAAAGAAGATGAAAAAATAAGGCAGAAATAAATGTACTCCATGTGGAGGACGGTATGAAGATAGGCCTAGGATGGGAGAATTGGGATGAGTAATTATTTAGGGGACAAGGTATTATAAGTAACATTTGGTCCAAGGCAAATATATGTCTTATGCTTATCTATGATCAATTTAAGTCAAAGTATTCCCACTCCCCTCCTTATAACAGATGAACTGTTCAAACGCTACCTGAAGGAGTTGAAAATAACTTCCCAATGTTGGAGTTTGTTTGTTTTCCTGGAACTCACTCTTAAGAGAGTGAGAAATGAGATGGAGAGGTATGGGAAATTACAGGGTCAGAATATAGTGTAGCAAGTAAAATATTGGTTAAACTGCATTTTTATTTTTGATTTCCTTTTGATTCCCACTTAGGGAAATCAGCCATGGTGACCCCTGAAGCCCAGAATACATATGTTTAGGGAATTCACTTTATGGATATCAGGGAATTGAGCATGCGGTTTGGCAGCTCACACTAGCTGGATTTAATTTGAGGGCAGTTGATTTCACTAGGTCAGTTGCACCCCTGAACTTGTCTCTTTTACAATTAGGAAATTAACAGCCCAGTCTATCTTTAGACTTGTCTTTTAAAATATTATTAAGATAATAAATGCTATTTCCAAGGACACAATGTTATTTTTGAACATTTTTGTACCTTTTTCTTTTCATGACAAACCATGACAAAAGGATGTAGTTTTAAGTAAAATTGTGTTAAACTCGTAAGTTCAATTTTTTAGATATACTTTTTAAAATACACACACACACACACACACACACAGACACTTTGGACATTTAAAAACTGAGAAATTGTTGTCACTCTAAGTTGCGTGTCTGTTTTTCTGCTGTTGTGAAGTGCAGTCTTTGCATGCTCTAATTTGCCATGACGTGGTCAAGTGCTGTTTCCTTCCTGTTGCTTGCAAGCCTGTGCTGGAGATAAGGGTACATTTCAGAGCATTAAAAGGAGCTGCTGAAGCCAGACAGACATGCCCACTTACCAGAACCTTTGTAGAGAACAGAAAGGGTGCGTGATTGTTTTCTGCTTATTTTTTAAAGCTATTGAAGTTGTACTTATTACTTTATTAAACAGATTATCAATCTTTATATGAACTAACCCTAACAGCAGTGATATCTGCATGTTTCATTAAACACGAAAATCATGTGTTGTGAAATTATGTATGGCATAGGAATTTCTGGTTGGTTTATTTAGCCTTTATTTCTATTATAAATGTACAAATATTGCCAGATTTTTAATAGTCAGTTTTTTAATTATAAGGGGGAGGAAAGAAAGACTTCATTTTCTTTTTTTCTTTTTCAAGACTTCATTTTCAAGAGCGAAAGGTACTTTTATCTTAACAGGAATGAAATCTTCAGACAATTATCTAACCTTAAAAGACCTATGTGTCCGTCCCCCCACCTCCCCCGCAAAGACCTATATGTATTACCCATGTTGATTTTGTTTAAAAACAACAACAAAAACTTTGGCAGCACTACCTTCTACATTACATATTAAGTTGTTGTTATATATTAAATGATATGATTGCTTTTTCATAACTAACTTTTTATTTTTCAGGCCAATACAATCCAGAGAAAAAACCTGCCTCCGTGTGAATGCAGTCAGTGTCTGAAGCATAGAACATTTGGAGCGCCTTCCCGAGAGAAAGCAAGCCTGGGTCTAGAGTAACCTGACAGACTGAGCAGTGGGTCTTTCACCCAGATCCGTCACTGGACTCTGCCACCCACCCAATCCTTGAACCTATTTGGAATTTTTCTTATGTGGATCTAAGGGGAATGCTTTATTATGGCTGCTGTTGTCCAACAGAACGACCTAGTGTTTGACTTTGCCAGTAACGTCATGGAGGATGAACAACAGGTATGAGACCCAGAGAGTGTTGGGTTTTAATGAATTAGTTTTTCTGGTTTCTTCTTTTAAAATAGAAGGCGATTTATTATCTAAAAGGCAATAAAAGGCGCCTTCAACTGAAACAAGAATTTTTAAATTAAAAACTGGAGAACATATGCTCATAAGTTTTTAAGATCCCTTTAAGTCATAAATTATGAATCCTACCACTAAATTTGAGGTGGTAACAAGGAAGTATTATTTTGGGGGTTCAGCTTATTTTTCTGTAAAACGAAACTAAGCAGCAAGTGCCTTAGGTGACTATTTCAAAGATACTTTGAAAAGCATAAGATCTAGAGACACACTAACGGGACATATCCGTGGTTTTGGTAGTATAGAACTGGTGGCTCTCATTTGCTTGTAATTTTACGGTGCGGTACGGTTTTAATATGTGTGGTAATTAGCATTTATAATCGTGGGCACTCCTTTAATCATTTCTTCCCAAAGCATGTGACTGAGGAAGTTACTCAACTTCTGTAGGTTTCAGTGTCTGTAGAATGAGAACATTCGACTAACTGATTTCCAAATTGACTCTTTTCATTGAAATTATACAAAATGTATAAATTATTCTTTCCAGGCTGTAAGTTGGGAAGAAAAAAGCAAAATCAAGAGATACTGAATAAAAGAAAGGATTTTTTTTTTTTAAAGAAAGGATTTGAGATAAGGTGCATTCTAGTCCCTTTTTTTCTTTTTTGGTCTGGCCAGGGTTTCTTGGGATTTTGTGGGTTTTTTTGCATTTATAAAAAAGACTCGCTTTGTTCTAAACAGGGTATCTGAGGGGTTGTATGATATGTTTATGGGAGAAATTCTGTAATGTTGGAGGACGCAGTTTACTGTGGAAGAAGATTTTGTAGACCAGTAGTATTAATAAGATTGGTCTGTATATTGAAATAAGCCCATGGGGCTTGAAAATCAAAATATGAACTGGCTTTGGAGGGAAAAATTGAGGGAGTGGATTGCTTGATCTCAATTAAAGATGGATTAATCATTATCTGGGTTTAATCTAGAAAGGATGGAAAAGAGATCCTTTCTCCTTCAGGGGAGAAAGTGTTTTGGATTTGCTCTGCAACAGGCTGTGTATGTCTCTGTTATGATTTGTTAGCAGTGTGTTTGCTGTGCAGCCTCCGAGAGGAAAGAGGATGTTGTCGATCCCACAGACCTCAGGCTTGAGGTGAGGAGGCCTGGTCATGGTATGTGACAGCAAAGGCACACAGTTCTGAACCATTCCCTGGCACACTCTACTGCAATAGCTTTGCATTCTCTTATTCTTAAACTCATCTTATATTATGGTTTAGTATAATTACATTTGTCTATAGAGCTTTTTTTAAAAAGGGTTTCACAAAACAACACTAACCTTTACTGTGCCCGATGCACTGTTTATCTTGTTCAGCAAGGTCTTTGGATAAAGAGATGATGCTCTTAAGTTCAATGTCAAAATGTGCATGCATGTGTGTATTCTTAGTTGTTTTTATCTAGCAAAACGAATTTGTTAGTTTTTGTAGACAAAGGACTTTACAAATATTAACCTTTTTGCTAATATTTGTTAATAACAAATATTGCTCTTATCCACGTTTTACAGTGAGGAAATTGAGACAGTGGTTAAATGACTTGCCTGAAGTCATGTAGTTAATAACTAGAGGAGCCTAAAATTGAACCCAAATAATTTGGCTCCCACTAATGATGATGAGTGCTCTAGTAGTGATCTGTGAGAATCTCACTATAATACAAGTATTAGAGCCAGGTTTACAGTTCTTTAATCGAAGTCCCTAAGTATAGTAAACAACTGATCCAGTGATGTTAATTTAGTTAGCACCTCATCTAACTTGTGGCATTAACTTCTGGTGTTTCGGTTGGTTGGTTTAAAAAATTTTTTTTAAATAATACTTCACTGTATTTTTCATGAAGTTTACATAGCAAGTTATGTTCCCATTTCACAATTTTCACACAAATTTGGGCAGTGACATTTCTCTTAATGTATCAGCATTCGCTTTGGTTGTCTTCTAGTTGTTCAATTTCCCATACTCTAGTTCCCTGCCCTTCCCATCTCTCCTTCAGAGTTAGATGTTGACCTCTGGTCTCTTACAGACAGTATTTTAATTGAACATCGTTCTTATAAACAATGTGCATTGCAGTCATTCTGAACCACAGAACCCTAAGTAGGGTCTCTGGTAATGTAAATCTTTAGAGGAGAAGATGGCCTGATCTTTCTCCTAAGGAGCGGCTAGTGGGTTTGAACCGTCAACCTTAACATTAGCAGCCCAGTGCCTAACCCACAGAGCCACCAGGGCTCCATGGATGATTTTATTTTTAAATTACACAAGTAGCTCATATACCAATTATAAAAGAAGTCAGCCCCCTAGTGCAAAAATAAGTAAAATAAACATGTCTCTCTTCTAACTCTTAACTTCTATTCTTCTAACATAGAAGAAATCAGACTTTACTGTTCGATGTGTAATGTTTTTAGACAAAAGTCTAAACAAATGAATGATTGTAAGAGTAAGTAGAAAATTATTGTTACAAAGTCATAGAAACTTTTATTAAACGAAACTATCAAAATGTGAAGCTATTTTTTTTCTCTCAACATTAACCTTTCCCTGAAAAATTAAGTGCTCTGTAATTTGTACAAAGTCAAAATGGTAGTTTGGGCACTCTTGAGGGACTCAAATTATGTTCCTTTTCAATGCTTGTTAAAGTTTGGGGAACAAAAAGAAGTCTGAAGAGACAAGATCAGAGTTTTAGGGCAGATGTGGCAAGAACCAGTGAAGTTCTCATAGGACAGCCCTGGCTATCCTCCAGAATGAGCAAGTGCTTATCACTCAAAAAATGCCTCCGCATGACTTTTCTGGTCTTTTCCTCATTGGTACAATTTTCAGTTTTCTTAAAGCTTCTCCTTAATAAACCTCTGTCACTGTGCAAGAAACAGTCACCATAACCTTCTTGCTAACTTCTGTGTGACTTGAACCAGCCCAGCAGGTCCCTCAGAAGCCATTGTTTTAGTAATGCTTGCTCTGAGGATTGTGTTGGTAAATCTAAGATTCATCCCTGGTTAGGTTTTGTTCCTTAAAATCAACATTAGCTTTGAAGTTGCTTAAAATATTGATGAAAAGGTCAACTCTGAGCAATATTTTCTTCTTGAGTGTCTGTTGTATGAAGGCACCCTAACAAGACTGGGAGAACTTGTCTGTAGCCATCCGCTGATCACAGAGACGTGTCTCAACACATTGTGTTTGGAAGAAACTCGTGCATGGAGGAACTGGCACCCTAACAGCAATGTTTCCTGCTTACCCTCACCTACATACATGACAAATCTATAGTTGTTTTTAAGATATAAGTAAAATCAAGCTTTTCCTGTGACTTATTTTTATTTAACCCGTAAATTTTTTGTATGCGTATATTAGTTCTAATTCATTAATTTTTCTGTATGATTGATAGACTTTATTAATCTCTGATCACCAGTAATTGGTGATTACCAGTATTTTCCTATTACAGTTTGAAGTGAGGACCTTGTTTGGGAACAGTAAAAATATATAGTGGTTAAGAGCTCAGGTTCTGGAGTGATAGTGCCTATGTTTAGACCATGGTTTCTATATATGCTGTCTCTGTGACCTTTGGCAAATGACTTCATCTCTCTATACTGTATCTTGGTTTCCTCTTTTGCCAAAAGTTAAGTTGCCGGGTTTGTGAGGATTAAGGGAGTTGACACATATAAAGCTTTTAGAGCTGGCAGGTAGTTAATATGTATTTGCTAAGTATTTTAATTTTGTTATTGCCTATGCATTTGTATTATATAGTGCATATTCTATAAAAGTGTGCTTATTTCTGTAGGATTTCTAAAGGTAGATTTACTGAGTTTACCAAAAGCGTGGACATCCTGCTAAATCATTCTTGTAAAAGGCTGTGGCAGTTTTTGCTATCACTAACAGTATAATTCTCTACAATATCATGAGCACAAATCCACTCCTCCTTCCCCTTTTGGACCATTCTGAAAATCTAAATTTCCTGGTCTATTAGTAAATATAAACATCTTCTCTACTAAAGAATGCTCAAAAATTGGGCATCTTGGCTGTTGGTGTGAGTTGTTTCTTGCTTATTATTCCTACTTATTTAGAATTTCTTTGAATTTCTCATTAATATCCTTTTGCCCAGTGGGAATTCATTACACACTGTGGAGAGTAAATTGGTATTGTCTTACAGCTAGATCTAGTGAATCTATTGAACCTCTGTTTTTGTGGCACATGACTAGTGTACTTTATCCCAGTCTCTTACTGCCTTTGAACAGCCTTGTGCCCTGTAGAAATTTCAAATATGTCCTCAAATTTATGTTTCCTTTCCCTTTTTTTGGCTTCTGGGTTTTGTGTCTATTCCTACTTAAAAGATACTTAAACATTCTCTTTATGTTTTCTTCATGTACGTCTTATATATTTAGTTTTTCATTCCATCTGGAATTTATTTTTGTGAGGTATAACTTGCCCTCGCAAATAGGGGAGTTGGCCCTTCATCATTTATTGAATGTTCTACTTCCCCACTATACCAAATGACCATATGCAGAGACTTTTGGACATGATGGAGTATTCTCTTCCATTGAACTTTTTATGTTGTACCAATATGTAAACATGCTTTTATAGGGTTGAAATTTGATCAGGTGACTTCCCCCACAAATTTTGTCTAAGGTTTTGAATGAATTTCAGAACTAACTTGTTAAAAGTATTTGTCTTTTAAAGTAATTAATTCTGATTAGAGATCCTACATTGATTTGATTATCTTAAAACTTGTTCTTTTTATAATTGTTTACGGCACTAACTTAGAATATATTTTCTGTTCTCATCTGTGGTTATAAATTTAGTAGTCTAAAGAAAACGACACCATTGATACCTGGTTGCCATCACTTTGATCACTTTGCCTTGTGTCAATTCAGATTCTTTTGAAAATTGCTTGGAGCTCCTTTGAATGGGGAGGGATTAGTGTGGAAAAGCTTCTAAATTACCAGCATTGTTGGTGCAGACAAGCTGTTTAAAAATTTGTTTTTGCTGTTTGTTCCATATTGGGAATTTTCACATTTAGGAACGAAGCATTTCTGTTTGGTAGCAACACTGTCACTATTGCACTCAGTGTCCTTTTATTTGAAATACTTTGATTTGACCCTCTAAATTTAGCAGGCTCCTTTGCCTGGTGAATGAACAAGAAGGAAGCTGGAGGCTGTGAATGGGAGTTTCTAGAAGAGGAAGACTTGGCTATCTGCGTAAACTTTCCAGAAGTTAATTTAATGAAAAGCAGTTGATATTTCCTGTTTTTAATAGTCTTTGATCTATATTGGAGTACAAACCACATGATCAGCAATCCCAAACTGCCAGCCATTCCTCGGGCTTTCTGCTCCTCAAAATATTTACAGCCTTGGAAACCCCAGTGGGCGCTTCTACTCTGTCCTGTAATGTCACTGTGAGTTGATATTGACTTGATAGCAGTGGGATGTGTGTTTTATTGCTGTTGATTTAAGTTGCTGGCTTTTTAAAAGTAGAACTTCTGAGCAGTCATAGTTATTTATATGAGGGGGTAGCCACTCCCAAAATGGAAAAAATTCTGCTGGGTGGAGTTTTTATAGTATGCATTTTTCCCACTAGGTAAGCATTGAACAGCTCGCTCTGAGTTAGTGCACCCAGTGGTGTCCCCTAGGAAGGTTCTCTCTGATCACAGTGAATTTTTTTGTAAAAGCAGTTTTGCTTGAACCTCATTTTATATGATGTCCGATTTAAGAGAACAGTATGTGGCTGTGGAATTTTGTTTCCTGCTTGGGAAAAATGCTGCAGAAATTGTTGTGATGTTGAACACAGCTTACAAGGACAGCCTTATGGGAAAAACAAGTGTATAAGTGGTTTCATCATTTCAAAAAAGGTGAAATGTCGATTGATGACAATCCTCATTCTGGATGACTGTCAGCTTCCTGAATGGATGACAATGTAGACAGAATTCGTGCACTTTTGCTCAAAGACTGAAGAGATGGGGAAGTTATCTGGACTATCTTGGAGCTCTGTTCAGTGAATTTTAATGGATGGTTTGAGAATGAGAAGGGTGGTCGTGAAATTTGTGCCTCAGGTTCTGACTGACCAGGAAAAGGGGCCTGGAGTGGAAACAAACATGCCACGCTTTGAAAGAACAGCTTCAAAGAGACCCAGA